TAGTGCGTTGTAATGACCTGTCAGTTGAATTTCGTTTTCCAATTCAGTGTCTGTCGGACTTGATGAACCAGTGAGGTTTTGCTGCGGGTACTGAACAGAGTCGGGCATGGCAATCATAAAGATATTTCTTCAGTTTTCTTATAAAAAATTTTTCACTCTCGGCCATAATATACTGCTTTTTTATTAGTGCGGTAGTGTATGGTGGACTGAAAAGCAGAAGTTTACAAGACCCACATGATAGATACGCAAAAAAAGTAAAGCAAAATGTTCTAATGTGGAAACTGAAGTAGCCATTGCACTTTATCAAACTGTTGTGTAAGGTTTATCACTAAGATGAAAGTATAAGAGTCTCTCGAATGTCATCATGTCTGGTGGGTTCACTACATATCTTGGTAAGGCATTCCAGTGAGAACAGATTCTCAGTGAGTAGAAATACTTTCTACAATGCAACCGGAATAGTTGCGTCATTAGTTTCAGGTGCTTGCCTCGACTTTGTTTTAAGCGGCTAGGATCAACAGTGATGTACATGGATGCCGGCTTTCAGTTAGTATGCGGTATGTGAGAATTAGATCTCTGCGAAGTCGTCAATATTCTTAGGAGAATACACCGAGTACATGAAGAGGCAGTTCGTAACTTAGACCGGATACTCCACGCTTTACTTCTGTGGCTCTTCCTTGGGGTTGTTCCAATAAGCAAATATCTCGTTTTAACCATGCACACTAGGCCTGAATTGCATACTCAACGTGAGGACGAATATAGGAGGCAATCCGCATTGGTACTAGCCGTCGCTCAAAGTGCCGAGAGCTCACCTCAAAAGTCACAAGTTTAAGTTCGCCACACTTGCAGGTTTCCAACATTAGAGCGAATTGCCAAGCCTCTCTTGCACGATTATACCTAAGTCGCGTTCACTAGTCACCTGTTACAGGACGTGTTGCAACAAAAGGTATGTGTTGACGAAGCTGCTGCGCACCGTCAGCAGGTGGCACTTTGCAGGTTTCAGTGGGAGCTGGTTCGCTTCTGCCCATTCGTTAATCCGAGTCAGATGTTTCGGGAGGTAGAAACGGTCGGATGGTGAGCGAATTGCTATCCATATTTTAGCATCGTCTGCAAATATTTGCATCGGGGATAGAATGTCTGCTGGAAACTCCTTAATGTAGACTAAAAACAGTAGCGGACCGAGGACGGATTCTTGTGGTACACCATCGGAGACGCATAGGCTTTCGGAGTGAGTATCGGCTACTCTTATTTCGATTTCTCTGTCGTGTAAATAGTCTTCCAACCAAGTGAGCAGGGAACCACTGATACCGTAGGCAGCAACCTTTTGGAGGAAAAGGAAGTGATTGACCCAGTGGAATGCTTTAGCAAAATCCAAGTAATGCACATCTACAGGGAATCCTTCATCAGCTTCTCTGGTCCAAGTGTCCCGACTAAGCAGCAAATTGATGAGACAAGGTCGTCTGTGTCTGAAACCATGTTGGGTATTAGATTATATATAGATTAGATATATAGATATATAGAGATAGATAGAGATAGATAGATAGATATATAGATAGATATATAGATATATATAGATTATATATAGACTTCCAAAGTATCGCGTCAGTTCATCTGTAATTATCGATTCCATAACTTTTGATAAAACAGGCAGGAGAGTAATAGGTCGGTAGTTGGCAGGATCCGATCGCTTACCTCCTTTGTATATTGGAGTGATAGTTCCATTTTCCACTCAGATGGGAGTTTATGGGAGTTAAGCAGACCCTGGAAAGAGGTTGCAAGTGGTGCTACTATGGTGGGAAAAGGGTTTTCAGTAATTTTGGACAGATCATATCGATTCCAGGGGGCACTGTACTCACGGAGAGAATGTAATTTGCTTGCAACAGATGCTGGAGTAGAGGTTGCTGCTAAATTGTGCAGCTCAAAATAGTCCGTAATAGTCCGCTGAGTCCCACTTTCTTTATCAACAATACTGGCAAAGCACACATAATAAAACGTTAGGACTGAATGGTCGCTACGGCCCGGTGGAGGATCGTGTGCTACTGACTGAAGCATCAACTCTTCGTTAGTCCGGATTAAGTCTAGGAGTGATGGCTTGTTTGAACCGCGATGGTTATAAAAAGCTACCATATCCATGACTTCAAGGAGCTTTACATCAAGTCAAGAAATTGCTTTATGCACCATGCATTGGTGAGTATTCATCTACAATTTAAATGATGGCCCATTAGGGGACATCGATGCCATTGAAGGAACAGTAAAGTGGTCCATTATAACATAGTAGGAGTACTTCTGTGAAACAGCATAGAGCAGAACGGTTAACAGGGTTTTATCGCTGTCTGATGACTAGTTCGAAGGTCTATAGGTAACTGCTAAGATGTAAGCATCACGCGTCTTGTGTGAACCAAGATCTCGACCTGCCAAGTGCAGTCGGCAAAATAGTGCGTCGGGAATAACAAGGGAATTTTCAGTAAGTACCTCACATTTCAAATAATCTCGATAGTAGAGAGCAACACCGCCACCGCGAGATGGACGATCATTTCGAATGACTGTGACGAGAGGATCTGCGTTCTCCGCTTGTCTGAGCTACGATTGACCTTCGGTTTGTTGCTCACTGGATTCCCGGTCGACAAATTTCTCCGGTCCATGGATCAATGGTCGCTATACACTTTTAGGTTGCTCTGGTCACGCCGTTTGGGCTGCCTCAGTTGACTGCACCGGCCAGCGGGTTTGCTAGCAGTGGGTTACAAGGCTCACAGGCTTTGTGCAGTGAAATGCACCTAAAAATATGGTGGTAACTTGAGATAACAAAAACGTTCGTAGCTATAGTACACAGTGGTGCACAGTACTAAGTTACATATTGTCTGACAGCCTTAAAGAAGTTCTGTCGAATGACATCCCAAAGGTACTAATGAAACTCAAATAAGCAAACTTACTAACATTGGCCTTAGTGAATGGACTTCCGAAGACTTCCTTTGTGGTGAACCAGCGTGTCGTTAAACTTACTTCAAAAATATAGACCCCGTTGGCTAGAGCTCGGTGATCCGAACCGATTGAGCGGACTTCCGTAAAGGTGGCACAAGTACGTGAGGGGATAAATTCAGTTTAACATAGAGCACAGGAGTACACCATTAGCACGCACCCGCTGACAAGGTGAACGCCGAGGTCTAATTCTTCGGCTGAAGGATATACATGGAAGGATTAGGTGATGGCATGTGGATGATATCAGACCACCATCAGTTGCGTGTGATTTGTCAGCTTAGTCGAATTGGAATTTACAAGAATTTGTCTATTATTGGAATAAGGTTTGCCTCCGATCTCCAGATGTACCATATTGTGGGAAAAACTGACCTCGTCATTGAAACGTTTCCATATTGGTCGCCATTTGGTAACGGTCTAACACAATTTGCAATATTTCGGAAGTGAAATACTTTCAGTTACATGACACTGCATCAAAATTTACCTCTTCTATCACAGGACCGTTCAATCTCTGGTTGTGACACAATGAATTCTTAAACTTTTGTACTCCAGCGTTCTGTGGGTGTTCTGATCAAATGTGGTAGATCTTCGTACTTGAGACACTGGTTCGACTGAGCAGAAGTTGGTACTTGGTGTGTGGTATCGCTCTTCCGCTCATCTGTGTGCCCGTCGCTTTCCGGGCTATTAAAATGGAAGAACTATGTGTGCTTTATGTGGTCTGCTGTACACGGGACGCAGTTAGTTGGTTTACTCGCATTTGCATACACGTGGTTTGTTCAACAATGCTCTGGGATTCGATTATCCAAGTAGGACGATAGTCATGCTTGATCATGACTAGACTGTTTGCAATACTGAAAGATAAGAGAACTGCACCAGGTAGATTTAGTAGCTTAGGTGTTGATTTGACCATTCTCTACTAGACTACCCGTTGTCACAATACCTGACAAAGTTATATTTTTAATGGTAATCCGCACCTCATATATTAATTACCATTGGTGCCGTCCGCAAGATTTGTTGGATTATTACTTTTCTCTTTAACACACTCTTAATCATGCTTGGAATTAGCGGACGCGGATATTTCGGCTATGGTTATAAGCAGTGCGTTCAGTTGAAATCCTCATTCCCGACCCGTCCTTTTCTTAACTGTCCTTAGATGTATAGCTTCCGCAGCCTGGTAGGCCGAAGGTCAAAATATTCATTCATTAGACCAAAGGCTCCCATTGTTACTCACCGTAGAGGAACTGGTTTTAGCAGATAACTTTAAATTAATTATGACCTGCAGCCGTGAGAACAAGTCACGGTGAAACTTTTCTACTTCAAGTAATGACCTAATATGCAGTATGCCTGAGGTTTACCTTACAGAACATCTTAGTACTTGCCAAAACTTCTCAGAGCAATGTGATTGCATAGCACATATTACTAGGTTTTATTGAACTTTGGTCCTTTATGCAATACTGTCATAAACAATGTACAACTGGACACTAGTTGGGGAAATTGGCAAACGCTTTTACGGTAGATAGGCGGTTGTATAAGTTCACAAGTGCACCAGCATCCGTGCAATAACGCTGCTAAAATACTGATTTAGAGTACGGAAAATAAGTGCTACTTCTAGCAGCTTAAACTTACCTACAAAGTTTTGACAAATATCACATTGTCTTTGCGAATAAACGTGAGCAAATCCTACTCAAATTCGCCCATCTTGTCCATAGATACGCGGATATTCATCCGCGTCTCTGTGCATGATCGTACCGTTAAACGCCATATGAAACGTATTGTTTGAGTGGCTCAGGGCATACATGCAAATGACAATCGAAGTGCAGTGCATTCGTCGTTCCAGTAGAACCGCACACTCGAAATCCGAAGTAAAACCACATAAACAAGCACACAAGTTTGCATCCGGTCTAGTCGTCGCATGATTGCCCCGAAAAGTTTATCATGCCACTCGGATTGGTCGTCAGCTTACCGTCAGATCGATCGGTGAGCCAGACACAGAAGTAGGCGGTAGTTGAACTGTATAACAGTGTGAATGAAACGGCAGTTGGCTACTTTCACGAAAGTGATCCGCAGCCATGAACGGCTGGTTCACATTTTCGAAAATATGCCTTTTTGCCCTGAACTTTATATTTTTGGTGAGTTTCAGTAGATGAAAATTGTCTCCGTTCTTGAGTAAGGTAGTAATGTCTATAAATGTGTCCTTGATGGAAGTCCAAAATATAACAACTTCGCAATCTTCTATTTTTAGATAATTGGACTGCTGATGATTGCCATAGGAATATGGAATATCGTGGAAAGCGCATCATTCTTTGAAGCAATCGCATTTTTCGGTAAAACACCCACAACCGTGCCAGCGCTCTTTGCGGACACTGAGGCGATGAGGATTTTCGCCTGGATTCTTGTAATCGTTGGGGGTTTGGCCTTCGTTATATCCTTTCTTGCTTGCTGGGGTGTAGCTAGTGAAAACAAATGGATCCTTATTACGGTGAGCTTTGTTGCATTATTTATCCACATGTCTTACTGAACGTAACGTCGGAAAACACTGCACTCACCAGCTAGGTAATATAAAAGCAGTAATGGGTGTGGTGTACCACTTTTTCATGGGTAGCAGCGTAAAGATAATCGTAAGCGACAGAATCGCTTGGGGCTAGAGTGACTCGTAAAATCTCCCGGGTCCAACGAAAAAAGGAAGCTGAGAAGTTAACTACGGTACTAGTAAACAAAATAGAATTCAAATACATATTTGCATACCTTAACAGCGCCTGTTCACTCCTGCAACAACCGGGCCTTCGAAAAGTTGCACAATGAAATAGCGTCACTTTACTTGCCACCGTACAGCAAGGCCACACAGCACAGACTCAAAGAGAAAAATACAAAGGTTCTTTTTAATGTGTCCGAAATATTCTCCCATTGGTCCGCGGTACGGCGCACAGGAAGATACAAGATGTCATTACGTTCAAATGGAATGATATTAACGCGTCTCATTGTGGATATAGGATCAAGAACCAAGAAGGGTCTTGGTGCCCTTGGGGTTAGTAGCACGGGTGAGAGTGCACGATCGTCACAGCGGGTTTGGGATGAAACCACGGAGAGATGGTTAGGAAAACAGTGATTAGAATAATAACCCGTAGGGGCAGGCGTCATATAAGTTTATCGGGAATAAGTCTCGATACAATGGTACGAGTTGCAAGGAAAACATTGGGCTTTGCATGGTAACTCGCACGGAGGTAGACAAATAGTGGGTTATCCGGGATCTTGACAGTCGGCACGGATGATGTGATTATCTGACTATGATCCTGACATGTAGGCTGCGGTTTTCACGGTAATTCTTCCGCCTACAATAATGGCCAGTTTCTTTATCCATGTATAACAGGGCAAGGTTTTATTAGAATAAGTGTTGTGATGGATCAACTATTCTACACAGTTAATAGAGACTATACAATGAATAGTAAACTTTAAACCACGGCACTGCACCGGCAAGCTCACACCCACCTGTATATATCTCCGGTGTATATAGGAAAGAAATTTGATCCAAAAAAGCTTTGTTTGTGTTGGCTGTGATGTACTGGATATCATAACATAGTACAAGGATGTCGATCGTTGATTGTTGGTTATGTAAATGAGATGTGTGTATTTTTCTCACAAAATGTGACTAGGAATGTTAGATATTTCCACATGTGTACACACTGTGTACCAAAACGGATATGCTGTTTGGGGTTAAACGCAGGCTTATTCTACAAAAGGTCCAAAGTTCACAGTCAAGCAAACTGTCTGATTCAGTGACTGCATAAACATACATGACGCCCTTCGTACGACCGAAAAGAATCTGTAGCTGGAATTCAAAATGTGTAAAATTTAAACATTTACCCGTCACACCCACCATCTTGTCAACAAGTGCACGCACCGGTAGAAATGTTTCGTACAAGCCATAAAATTTAGTACCATTTGCTGCAGTATCGTTCCGGAGTTTTCAACAATAACAGGTTTGCGAACCTGGTTACGGCTTATTTCAATTACTTAACCTATTGCAATCAAGTCGCAAGAAATCGCTGAATCTATTTCTCCTTCATCATAACCTTTGAATCAGTTATTAAGTGAATAAGTGAGCAAAACGGGGTATTGTCAAGCTAAACCTATCGGCAGAAATCGTCTCAGTAGCATGTCCATTCGGCGATAGGCAAATGCTTTAAGACTACCGCTTGCATTTTTTTATAATATACAAATATCTTGGCAGTTAACGGTACTTCATGGTCGTAAAACTCTGCAGTTATTCCTCACTGGATCCGGGCGGAACATGGACGAATAGCTTCTTCGCAGTAGGATATTTTTGACATTTAAAGGATCTTGTATTTCATATATGTTTTATATATGGTACTGCAGTTTCCCCCATTTCATAAAATAGGTAGTGAATCAGACGTTGCACTTTTTGTCTTACCAATAAAAGTAATTCCAATCAATGAATGGATAACACACAATTAACTATTTGTGCGCCATCCACCTGAAAGGTGCACGTCGGCTAAAAGCAGCAGATATTAAGACATGAGCCAACGACTGTAGGGACTAAAAGCATTGCCTTACAATAGTTTTATCTGAGAGTGCACAGGACGAAATCCAAAGTTAGTATATCCAGCGAAATGAAACCTTAACTGAAAAGGGTTAAACGCCGAAATCATGCTGCTGATTCAATACTTTACTTTTTCAGTATGCAGCAGTGGTGTCATTTTTGGTTCTTGTGGAGGTGCTATTTGTGATCCTGCTGTTCGGTCTGGAGCATCAGGTAAGTGCCATATCTCCCAGTGAAATAAACGCAACTGTAACTTTTATGAGTCGTCAACTGACTATTTCGTGTGAACAGTGATTTACAACGGGTAACAACGAGTGTGTCGTAAGTCCCCGTAGGATGACCGGAGAAATGTTCATCAAACCAAATGCAGAGTGATTGGAGAAAATGGGAAAATTCAGGTTTTGGTTGACTCACTATGCTATTCACATTAACACATATGCAGTCTCCCTCATCGCTACTTAACGGAAACGACTGCTGAATACAGTGCTTGGTTTGCGTAATTTCAACTGTCGACTTACACGGGATATATCCCGAAATGGACAGTGTGTCCGCAAGGTGATTTTTGATCAGGATTTATTTTGAGGCCAAGATAACATTTATTAGGAGAGCTTTCCGTGTTAAGGACATCCGACAAACATTTCGTCAGCATTCCAGTCGACTGGAGTGCAAGTCCAATTTGAGCTGATGATCACTCATGTTGGCGTTGTGGGCAACCCACAACAGAACACGGCACGCGTGAACGGGGGTACGCCAGTGGTTGGTGAACCTTGATAAAGTCACCGCCAGCTCCGATATTCACTGCTGTACAAACCTAGGGCTTGCAGTCTGAATGTGTTGGTAAAGTGAAATAATCACCGAACGAATTTAGTCGATCTAAATTGAGGGTCGTCAACCACATCAATATCATGATTTCAGAAGGTTTGAATACAAATCGGTTTTTTGCTAGGGTTTTATTGTGGCAACGTTTCGCCCTTGATACAAGAGCTTCTTCAGGCCAGGTGAATAGTTACAAAATTGGCTTAGCTTTTTATGGGAACGTAAGTTGAAGGTTGCAAGTCCTAACATGAACAATTGCATAATAATGTTACAGGTCAATAGGTCAAGTGGCCACGCTAATGAAACAACAAGCATCGAGCGTTTCTCATTGATCCACCTTAGCGGTCGTTCACATGTGAGGCATTCCTTTTCTTGCAGCTGCTGATTCACGCTCCGACTTGAGTTCGTCCGCCGATACCTTTTCTGACTGACCGGGTTAGCACAGTCCGCCAAGCGTTCGATAACTCCACCCCGTCTGTTCTGTTCACACGGTTATTAGTCTTAGTAATCTCGATCGCCTCAGCAATTAACCGTTGGCCTGTTGCTGGTAATCCCCTCCTAAATATCTCGACATTGTCCAAATCAATCGCGTGTCCTGCCTCTAGCGCATGTACGGCCACCGCTGAATCTTTTAGTAGGGCCCTGTATTCAGGCTCATTTCTCGGTGGACGCGAAACGTACCTCTTGTGTTCTGCTATCCTCGTGCGTAGCTCTCTCGCTGTTTGACCTATGTACACGTGTTCACAGTCTTTGCAATTGATTTTGTAAACACAATTTGTCGTCCTGTCTCTTGGAAGTGGATCCTTCAAACGCACAAGTGCTGAATACAGCGTTTGGCCCTTCCGAAAAACCACTCTTATTTTCTCCTTGTTTAGTACTCGTCTGATTGCTACTGAGGTTCCCTTTTTATAGGGGATTCCCACTGTCCCAATCCACTCCGTTGTGCGTCGCGGAGGTGGATTTAGAGCTCGCTGCAATTGGCGTTTCACTAACCGCCTCGGATATCCACTGCCTATTAATTTGCTCACCGTCTCCTTACGAGCGGCCTTCCTGTCCTCCTCCTCTGTACACAGAGTCTGGGCTCTGTGAAACAGAGAGGATGTGATAGCGGCATAGACTTGTTTTGGATAACCCGAACTGTAAGGAAGTACTCCGTCCGTATCTGTCGGCTTGCGATATATCGTCGTCTTTAGCCGTCCACCGATCCTGTGAACTAGGCAATCGAGGAATGGCAATGTGCCACTGCAAGATTCTAGTTCCATAGTAAAGTTTATATTTCCATTAATGGAGTTCAGATTATCTGGAAACGCCTCCTTCATATCTCGCTTCATAACCACAAACGTATCATCCACGTAGCGCTACCAAATCTTTGGCGAACTACCGGAGTTTGTCAGCGCCCTTCTCTCAAAGTCTCCCATATACAGATTTGCCAATACGGGGGATATTGGTGACCCTATGGCAAGTCCCTGTTCTTGAGAGTACAGTCTCGAATTGAAAGTGAAATACGACATATTAAGGCATACTCTAATTCCATCGATTATCTGATCTACCGTGAGTTTCGTTTGCTGCTCCAGGCTATTGTCCTCAGTAAGACAACGCTGTGCTATACACAATGCGTCATCCTTGGGCACGTTAGTGAATAGGGAACTAACATCGGAACTAACCATTATTTCGTCTGGCGCGATGTCCAGACATGCTACCTTTCGCGCGAACTAATAAGAGTTCCGTACGAAGCTATTTGTTCTCCCTGTTAGAGGTTGCAACAAAGCTGCCAAATATCGTGCTAGTTCGTGCGTTGGAGAAACGATGCCATCTACAATGGGCCGAACGGGAACTTCCGGAACACTCGGTTCCAAACATATTCCGAGATATTGAATCAATATACGGACCACGTTTTCGAAAACTGGCTAGTGAATTCGTGGGAGAACAAATAGCTTCGTACGGAACTCTTATTAGTTCGCGCGAAAGGTAGCATGTCTGGACATCGCGCCAGACGAAATAATGGTTAGTTCCGATGTTAGTTCCCTATTCACTAACGTGCCCAAGGATGACGCATTGTGTATAGCACAGCGTTGTCTTACTGAGGACAATAGCCTGGAGCAGCAAACGAAACTCACGGTAGATCAGATAATCGATGGAATTAGAGTATGCCTTAATATGTCGTATTTCACTTTCAATTCGAGACTGTACTCTCAAGAACAGGGACTTGCCATAGGGTCACCAATATCCCCCGTATTGGCAAATCTGTATATGGGAGACTTTGAGAGAAGGGCGCTGACAAACTCCGGTAGTTCGCCAAAGATTTGGTGGCGCTACGTGGATGATACGTTTGTGGTTATGAAGCGAGATATGAAGGAGGCGTTTCCAGATAATCTGAACTCCATTAATGGAAATATAAACTTTACTATGGAACTAGAATCTTGCAGTGGCACATTGCCATTCCTCGATTGCCTAGTTCACAGGATCGGTGGACGGCTAAAGACGACGATATATCGCAAGCCGACAGATACGGACGGAGTACTTCCTTACAGTTCGGGTTATCCAAAACAAGTCTATGCCGCTATCACATCCTCTCTGTTTCACAGAGCCCAGACTCTGTGTACAGAGGAGGAGGACAGGAAGGCCGCTCGTAAGGAGACGGTGAGCAAATTAATAGGCAGTGGATATCCGAGGCGGTTAGTGAAACGCCAATTGCAGCGAGCTCTAAATCCACCTCCGCGACGCACAACGGAGTGGATTGGGACAGTGGGAATCCCCTATAAAAAGGGAACCTCAGTAGCAATCAGACGAGTACTAAACAAGGAGAAAATAAGAGTGGTTTTTCGGAAGGGCCAAACGCTGTATTCAGCACTTGTGCGTTTGAAGGATCCACTTCCAAGAGACAGGACGACAAATTGTGTTTACAAAATCAATTGCAAAGACTGTGAACACGTGTACATAGGTCAAACAGCGAGAGAGCTACGCACGAGGATAGCAGAACACAAGAGGTACGTTTCGCGTCCACCAAGAAATGAGCCTGAATACAGGGCCCTACTAAAAGATTCAGCGGTGGCCGTACATGCGCTAGAGGCAGGACACGCGATTGATTTGGACAATGTCGAGATATTTAGGAGGGGATTACCAGCAACAGGCCAACGGTTAATTGCTGAGGCGATCGAGATTACTAAGACTAATAACCGTGTGAACAGAACAGACGGGGTGGAGTTATCGAACGCTTGGCGGACTGTGTTAACCCGGTCAGTCAGAAGAGGTATCGGCGGACGAACTCAGGTCGGAGCGTGAATCAGCAGCTGCAAGAAAAGGAATGCCTCACATGTGAACGACCGCTGACGTGGATCAATGAGAAACGCTCGATGCTTGTTGTTTCATTAGCGTGGCCACTTGACCTATTGACCTGTAACATTATTATCCAATTGTTCATGTTATGACTTGCAACCTTCAACTTACGTTCCCATAAAAAGCTAAGCCAATTTTGTAACGATTCACCTGGCCTGAAGAAGCTCTTGTGTCAAGGGCGAAACGTTGCCACAATAAAACCCTAGCAAAAAACCGATTTGTATTCAGACCTTCTGAAATTATGAAATCACAGTCGGTTCCTGGCATATTCCGATATATTACCTCAATATCATGTTTGCGTCAGGGACGCAATGCTTGAATCGCGTACTGTACACGTGACCTCGTGTAGGTGTTAAGGGTTTGCATAAAGATAGTTCGAACTTCGTAATGTACTTTATTGGAGGTTAAGAGACTAGCGGATTCTTGCCGAGGCCTTTTCTGCTTGTTTTGAGCTGCTAGGATCATCATGTAATATTACACCGAAATAGTTTACCTGTGCAGTACAACACAACTTCTGATCTCCAATTCGATTTCATGGGTATGCTGATGGCATCTGCTCACAACTTCGCCTAGGTGTCTTGCCGGATCTTGACATCGTCCGCAGAAATTTGAGAGTTCGACCGGACTACAATGATAAGATTATTTATGAAGACTAGGAAAATACCTGGTCCCTGTATTAAATCTTGGGGTAAATGGAAGCATAGCACGAGCATTTTAAGTGTAACGAAATCTTGTTCTCTTGTCCTCTAACGACAACAAATACAGTTGTCAGACGAGAGCGAGTTCGCTCAGTAATGAGCAACGATATGTTCCAATATTCTGATATATTCTGAAAAAGTAACAGGGCTAAGAAATATGGATTTTCATATAGTTAATAACTTGACCACTGAAACCAGCTCGCGGCAGCGCAAAACACAATACATCTGTAAAAGCACTGTGAAACTGGTTTTCCTATTGGATTTTGTCAGTGTGGCAAACCTCCCGGCTTCTCAGTGAATCGAACTTATGTTTTCTAGGCTACCGCAGATTAAGTTACTAGTCCATCAGTGACCACAGCATAGCATCACGATCGATAAGTTTAGTGGGATGCAACGTTGCTCACGTTCTACTGACAAAAAAAGCAATAATGTTTTGCCAGTTGGAGATATATATATCTATATCTATATATAGATATAGATATATATATCTACAAGTGGCAAAAGTTTGTTGCTATTTCTGTCAGTAGAAGGCCGCACGTCACTTTTTGCATGTTGAGGTTCGTTGCTGGAATCTGCATTCCACGTAAAGGAATGTACGCTGAGTGACGGACTACACCCAGATTGTGTTATGCATTGCAACTTCTCGAGCTGCTTGCTTATATCATGCATTTTTCAGTGGGGGCCGAAGCTCACACAAGAAATCACGGATACGTTTTCCACAAACTACGTTGGAAGTATGGGTGCTTTCGAGCCGACCAAATACGATCCGTTCTCCTTGGCAATGGATGCCTATATGCTCAAGGTAAGTTCCATTGATGGCAATATGTACAAATTTTTATTGCATATCCAGCAAACATCAACTGAAATAGCAGTTCTTGAAGAAGTTGATCCAAGAGGAGAAAGCAAGTGGGCTGAAAAAAGAAAGAGTGTAGTTTGGGTAATAAACATAAACAGATTTTGCTGTTTCTTAAAGACGACCCCATTATCTTTCTGTCTTCCTTTGAACTGTACCGTGTATCCCTAGGATGGCAAATTAGGCTTGCTAGGTCCTTTGTCAGCGAAAGTGGATGGTATATCAAATCATATATATCCTGGTGTCGGGCTATACATGAGGTGAGCTATATTTTCCTGGTCATCATGGATAGAGAGTATCTGAAAGTTTGGCCAGAATTTGTATTTTAGAACTATTCGCATGGCTCGACCATTTCAGATATTGCTAACAAACATTTGCACAGTTAAATTTAAGTGCATATTTCCCACGATTTGTGGTGTGACCATTTATACAGATAGGTACCATCATTTTTGCACATCCTGCTGCGTTACACGAATGAATATGGCAAATAGACAGCTCATTTTTACTGTAAGTTGGGATGAAGTTGCTTTCTTCTCAATGCAGCCCAGCTAACCATACATTTGTGCACCCATTATTGTGCATACGCAAACCAGATAGACTTGGCGATACAAATGCTTGACGATAGAAACTACAATCGATCCAGAATGAAACAACACTAACGCTGCGCGGGTCTTGAACCCTGGTATCTCCTTAACAACAAGCATTTAGACGTTAAAGCCGTGAATCGTTTTCTCTTTCATGGTTGTTTGCTTCATTAACATGGACTGTCTATAATTTATAGAGGAAATTCCAGTAGTCTAACCATGCAGGTGGTAAGAGTGCCATTTTAGACATCAGCAGTACGTATCGCAGACTGATTGAATTCAACCGACATAAATGAACCAAATAGTGTCATAAGGTAGATCAAATTCGAACGCCGCATTCCGGAACAGAAGGTATGGAAACTAATCTCATTTAATGCATGCTGACTCCGCACCAACGTCCCCATGTCTAGAGAGGGTTTGCGACATGAGGTATGCATGCAGGCAGATGGAAAGCAGAAGTACCCCATCTAGAACAGTTCCGCTATTCAGTTCCAATCTAGGGACTCCTTGCATTATCAGGTCGATAGAATAAGATCAAGTACAGGCTACAGCCTCAAGGGTAAACACAAGATGTTACTTGCAGCAATAATTAAAAACGAGATATTTTGTTTTTGATAATCAGACGACGACAATGGAGTTGTAGGCCACCCTAAGCATGGTTTCACCGACTGGGGGTGTTGCGGTAATGTCGGTTTGGAGAACGAACCAGCTGATGCTCCAACTTTGAGACTTAACTAGTGAGGAAGGCTTGCTGGTTTCTTAAATCGCTTTTCTAACAGTAACTTTATATGAGCAAGACACTACACAACTGTAAGTTTCTGTTTCAAAAAAAAACAACAAGAGAAATCAGTTCTCATTCGGTGTTTAGAAAATCTGAGCAAAGCTTCCCTAATGAAACTTTCCCAACTACCTTGCCAAGTTGATCCCGAAAGTGACCAGTGAACTTATACGGGTGAAGAATCACCCTTCACAAGGCCTGGTGGGTGGTCTGGTCTGGTTGTTGAAATACTTTAGAAAAAAAGCACGCTAATTTTCGTGTCAAAAAGAAGGACCTCTCGTTTAGAATGCGGTAATCCTGTATTGCGCTTGGCCTCGCAGTTCCAACAGGCGACAAACGAAAACTCCAAGATAATTCCAAGGAGTAGGAGGGAGAAATAAATTTTGGTAACAAAATGTAAGTGACTGAGTGCGTCATCCAACCGTTCTTTAAAAATGAGCGTTGTTGGTGCAGTAACGACTGATTCCAGGACAGCATTCCATGGGTGGCATACACGATACGAAATAAATTTGTGCGGCTCTTCAGGCGACTGTACAGTTTTGTCAACTGCATGGAGCGGTTGCAGTGAAGAGTGGCATACAATTTGGATCATGCGGAGTCATGTATGAGATTATCAGTGACGCCGTCCATTGAATACTGCCGAACGTTTTAGTCTTTGTTCTAATTACCTACTACAAAGCCCAACAATGTGACTGCCTCAGTGCAGTTAGCTCGTGCTTTAGCCATGAATGCAGGGATTGAATTGTCTATTCAAAATGGGGGAAAGCATGCGCTCTGAGCATGCCCGAACGACCGTCTTAAAAGACCAACTTGTTGGTTATCAGCTTTAATGCGTTTTCCGATTGTTTGGAACAACCCAATTCATCTTGAATCAGCGCATCCAGGTCGCTTTCGACGCAAGATTGCCGCACTACTGTCGCTCCTAGTCTGTATAAGTAGGTGCAGTGATGTTTTCTGGAGAATACCTTGCATTCGCTCACGTTGAATTACAGTAGATTTCGTGTTGGCCATTGATGTAAATTGATTTGGTAACACTGAAACAAATACTGATCGGCATCCACCTAAATCCTGCACCATCTCATAATGTCATCGGCAAACAGCAGGCAGCTCTAATCGATTGTCTGTTCGAGGTCAGTAATAAATACCAGACTATCATGAAACTAGAACTAGGTATTGCGGCACACCAAACTTGACTTTTGTGGGTTCAGAGAAGAAGCTCCAAACTCTGATCAATAATCTCCTTCGAAGGATAAAGTTTCCGATCCAGTTCAAGAGAGGGTCACCCGATGTATAACAACGGAGGTTGGAAAAGGATTCTGATTATTTGGACCATTTAATGCTGTCAAAAATCCACGTTAACCTCTTCTTCAGCGTCAGTTGATTCGGTCCATGTAGTAGGTACTATTAGTCACTTCGCTGTGCATGATCACAGTCAATGGAAGTCGTGCTGCTGGGGAGTAATACTGTTACAGTCTTACAAATAGCATACCAGCGGATGGGCAAATATGGATTCCAGGAACTTGGACAATATAGGGGGAAGAGAAACTAGGTGGTTGTTTGAAGGCCAAACCCTGCTTCGGCCCTTGTGGATCGGAGTTATTATTTCCAGCTTCCACATAGCAGGGTCGTGGTTCTGGTCTAAGCAGCGCTGACACAATTGAGCGAAAGGTTCTCTCAGTGCACTTGTTCCTACTTCAGTTGCTTCTGGACAGTGTATTAATACCAGAGAAGCTGTGGTTGTGCAGAGATGTCAGTTTTACCAGGGGGCTTCAGTGGTAATCGGATGTAGCTGAGCCTCGGCGGCGGGACAACAATACTGGAAGATGGGCTGATGGTAAGACCATTTTAAAATGAGGGGGGGAATTGCGTCTGCACTGCTTTTATTGTATAACTTTCGGAAGCCAGTGTAATGCTTGTAAAGGAGTTGGTAGTTAACGTCGTAGTTCTTGCGACGTTTTGCTGATATGCGATACTGTCTTCTTCGAGCCTTTGAGTGGAGTGTTCACATTGAGCAAATCAATTGTCCCAAGCATCTGACATTGGTGCTAAGCCGTACTTCTCCATGATGCACTGCGTACTGCCGACATCCTTTGCTCGTACCGGAGATTGCGCACTCCAATTATTGCTTGGAAGCCAGATGTAGAGGCTGATCCAGTGCACTGAGATCGTGTTTTAGTCATAGATGTCAGGCTTGAATTACGTATTGGACAAGCTGGCGAACATACGTACGGAATATCTGTCAGCGAATGAATATATCTATATACGCGTCTGTACATACTAAACTAGGCAACTGAACTTAACGCAAGGTATTTACCTAACGGTCATAACAAAGGGTGGATACAAATGGACAGTTGGGTTCAAAATAGCAGAAGACTACGGATCTACTTTCGCCAACTCAGTGATGTGTATCAGGATGTTACCGATATGGTCCTTAATCAAACCAATCTGAACAAGGTTGCTATGCTCAGACCTAAACGATCAGGTTTGTTAAGCCAACACAGCGTGTATGAACCTATTTTACTGGGCTCGTAATGACAAATACCTAGGTCGAACTCTGTCAGCGTTACCCACAATTTGTAGGGCACTTACCACATTCCACTATGGACAACTGCAGACGTCTGCTAACTCATTGTTATGTTTCGGGAGAGCCTATGGTGCGCTGAGGCTGGTGGTGGCTAGATCCTGACAGATGGTCTACCCACTGCTGCTACTGTTGCGCCATGGTCTCATGTCCTGGGCGCCTCCACGTGGCGACCGCTGGGTGGGAGTTAGGTTTCGCCCTTCTCCCTGCTAAGGATCCAGGACACCACACTCGCATGAGTCAGCTAACTGACCATGTGCTAGACCCGCTGCCTTTCGGTGTTCATTTACGAGCT